ACCAGCAGAATACTGCCTTCTGAGGCTTGTGACACCAGCAAGAAAGAAAATGTGACCCGGGGATATGCAACCAGGAATGCCAACTTCTTCTTCTCAGCTTCGTATATATACGTCCAACAGAGCACTTAACACTCAATATTGGATTTTTTGTTTTTATGAATCTCTTCTCCAGCAGTTTATGAGGTTCCTCAGAGGAGGGACTCTGTCATATTATCTTTGTCTCCCCAGTGCTGGGGAAGAGCCTACCATACAAGGGAGGAAGGGGAGAAGGCAATGGCATGTGACTTATCAAAACTTCTCTTCTATCATCTTATGCATTAGAGAGTTCAAATTCTTCTCAGTCAAGAAAAAAATGCTAAGGATAAGATAAACTTCTGTTCAGCCTCCACATGCAAATTAGTTATTTAGTTCCTAAATAAATTTAGTTCCTAATATAATAAGCGTATTTATTATATTATATTATATTATATTGTAATAAATATATTTATTCTACTGGTTACTCATCCATTAAACTAATATTTAATGAGTTCTTACCATGCATCAGGTAGGATGTTGGGAGTTGGGGATACTATGGTGAACAAGACAGACACAGTCCCTGTCCTTATTTTATACTCTAAATTATAAAGCAAGCCTTTCTTTTCAGGTTTTAAATCTTCTGCATTTAATATTTTATGAATATACCCACATTACCAATAGGTATTTTTGTAAATAATGTGCTTTGCGTATTAAGACAATGCCAAAAGTATATTCATATATGCCTAAAGAGGAAGTCAGTTGTGGAATGATTTTAATATCAAGTCAACTGTCTTAGCCTTTTTTGCTATGCTATGATAAATATAGCCAGAGAATTAATGCAGTGTACCAAGTTACATTTCCAAGTTCGATGTCTGGTTTCCTTATCAGACTGTTTGGACCATAAAGGCAGGCTCTGAGTGTCTTGTTCTTTTATTCACTGTTGTGATTTTAGCACAGAATCTGTGCACTAAATATGTGTTAACCAAATGGTTAAATACTCAAGGCTCATAAGCGTCCCCCAGGATATGAGAATAAATGAATTCTTTTAAAATTTAAGGCAGATGTTATGAGTACCTCACACAATAGAAAGTTGTCATACTACTGCACACACGTACTTCTTTCTTACCAAAGTGGAATGTTAAATACGCTGGAAAAGCTGACCTACAGAGATGGTACACAGCATTAAGACAGGCCATCTACCTAAATTTATTAGCCAACTTTAATGCTAGTCCTCTTTGCTTCACTTATTACTGACCCACTAAGGAAAACAGCTGCCCTATGTTACAAAGATATGTAAGAAAAAAAAAGTTAAATGTTTGCAGTGAGATTTTTTCATAATCCAGTCATGAGAAATCAAGTTCTTACCAGACTTTGATTTTAAAAGTTCTGCCTTTGTATGAAATTAAAATAATGTTCTCACAAACTGGCAAGTAACTTCAAGCAGAAGGAGCAACAGTATTTTATTTTATTACAAATAAACATTCCACAAAAGTTTAATTGGGAATGTATATGTATTATTAAGCAGAACAAAGAAAAGATAAAGAAATAAGGTACGAGGACCTAAAACATCATTTAAAATCCCACCAATTTTATCTTACGCTGGTAGGTACTCAATACAACTGAACTGAAAATAAACACTTTATAATATGTGCTTGCAAAATGTATAATGCTGTAGTAGTAAAGTACAATTTCCAAATATGAGATTTTGTCTGTCAGATTTTTAAAAAGCCTTTAAAAATATGATATGCACAAGCTTGCCCTGAGGGAAAGTAAGATGGAATATAAATTACAAAATCTTTACATATTTTCCACAACAGCATTTTGAAATTGGAAAGAGCAAACAGTGGTGGAAAAAACTGAATGAACCAATTGCTAAAAATTCAGTGCACTCAAAACTACCTGATGGAAATTGTGAAGCACCTTTTGTCGTGCCTTCTTATATCATAATATGAAATGTATAAATTATATAGGCCTTGATATTCAGAAACTTAAGAAAATTTCAAGTTATAAGCCAAACTGTCATCAGAAAAAAGAAAAATCTGGTATAAAATTTGCTACCATAAGGCCACTGTTTCGAGTTCTCTCACGTACAGACACTATACAATTCAGATACTTTTGTTTTTATTACATAAGCAAAACTTCCAACATATAAATGTCTGGATATAACTCAGGTAAATTCTCTATGAAACCATGCTCAGAGAAAAATGCATCAACAAATAATGCCCTTTTGAGACTTTTTGCAAAAGAAACTGTAGTTAATACAACTTTTAAATTGAATACTGTAATTTAAAAGCAATTAAGTGTAAAAAAGTTGCAGCATTCCACTACAGAAAAATAAAGTTATTTTATCAAGAAAGTTACAGTATTAGTGCTTTAGTGCCAATTTTAACTCCTGACAAAAAGAGATGCTCCCAAGTATCATCCTGTAGTGTCGTTTCCATATGTAATAATTCCAGATTAGATTGCTGTGGCAATGTTTGCATATTCCTATTGAGAGAAAACAAAAGAAATACAGACTTCAAAAGAAGAGTCAGTTATAACATCTGAGCTAGAGTTTTTTCACATTGTAATTGTCAAAATATTTTAATTTATGTAGTAACCACTTGCAGCCAAGACCCCCACAAAGGTATGTGGAACCCCAAAGACGCAAAGTAACAACAGAACACATCAAAGCAGATATCAAACGGTTAAGTCAGTAGGACAAAGAAAATATATGACACTCAGCACACTGGTATTAGTAAGTTGATGAAAAGGCATTCTGCTATTTGGGTGAGTTTCACTGGGGATTATTAAAGAAAAAAAATTCAAGACCCTTAAAACTTAGCCCCTCAAGCACAGAGCCTGGTGGGACACACACATAGTCTTAAACTGGTCATCATATGGTATCTTTAATTTTAAAACGATATGGACTCTTCTAGCTTGGCTGACAGAGAAAGCTACTGAGGAGATGGGGAAGCATTCTTGCTTTTGGATGGTTACCTACAACATAAAAAGATGTAAGGCTTCTGTAAACACAGGAAAAGGAGTTCACAACAATAAAACTGTGATTAAAGAGGGTAATGAAACGTGGATTCTATACTGTGATGCTATACAAAAATATTAAATTACCAACCACAAACTGGACAGAATAACATGCAACTTAGAAAAGAGCAAAAATGGTAAATGGTATGTTTTTCTGGGACATTAAAAATATTTATTAATACATATATCCTTACCTTTTACTAGGATCTTACATTATTAAAACTGAAAGAAATTTAAAAGTTGATTTATTTTTTGGCATTTACATTAGTATGGAAACATTTAATTCCAAACAAAGGCAGTGCTGACAGAAAATACTTATTCTTCTTTCAATTTTGATTAATTAGTGAAATGTTCAAAATACATGCATATATATATATAACATATATATATATTTTGTCAACATCATTCCTTTAAATAGAAGTAGACTTCATTGTGTCCCATTTCTTTACTTGTTATATAATATAAAAATCATAAATGTTGACCTTCAAATATCCATTGCCTACTAACAACTTTAAAAGGAAACTCTGACTATAATAATTCTTAAAAATGTTTCAAATGAAATAACTTGTTTTTACAAATGTACAATTATTCTGAATCACATTCACCCTTGCCATAGCTTCTCCCACACCATCTCTCAGCTTGATCCCCCATTCTTCCAATTATTTGAAAACCTACTTTAAGCAGAATTGGAACTAGATATATGAGCACCACAGTAGTCTAAATCTTCTTAATCTGACACTTGGTATCACTGCAAATGCTCCCTTGTGGGTCTTCCTGAATATCGTCTCCTCCCCAGAACCCTGTGTACCCACTGCTCATCAAGGAATCCTCCTCAACAGCACTTTCTCCTCAGTCTAGCAGGATGTTCTACTTCTCTATCACATCCTCCATATTTTCCCCAGCTTTTGAGGCCTTCCAGAAGTTGCACACTCCTATCTTTACCCAACTCTCAACACTCTACCACCAAATACGGATCTTCGGCTGTCGTCCCTTCTATGCCCTGCGCTTCTCTATGACTCAGTTTGCCTCCTCCTCTATAAGAGGAAAGTGAAACTCAAAGTACTTAGCTACTTTCTCTGGCCATTCCCAACATACTGATTTTTCCTCCTCTCTTTAGACATTTGCCATCTGTCAAATTAAGCTCTTTGAAACTATGGTTGTACAGATGAGTTAATACAGCAAAGGATGCCTGACTGCTATCCTTTCAAAGGCCTGCTTCCAAGGTCGGACCCTGGCTTACAGCCAGGAACTTAAATTTGGGGAGGATTCGCACCATGGACGAATGTCTAAGCTGTGCGAACAATATGGTCTATGGTGAACACCTGCTTTCCTACTGAGGGTCCGGAATTTGGGCATGTAACTGGCCGAGGGTGCCTACGTAACCAGCCCTCGATAAACCCCCAGCCACCAAGTCTCTAACGAGCTTTCCTGGTTGGCAACATTTCACATGTGTTATCACAGCGCGTTGCGGGAGGAATTAAGCACGTCCTGTGCGACTCCACAGGGAGAGGACTCTGGGAAACTTGCACCTGGTGTCCTCTGGGCGTCCCCTGAGCGCCAATTCCCTCTGCGGATGTGCCGTGCGGCTCCCACTCTAACACATCACAGCTGTGAGTACCACCGTGCGCTCAGTCTCCTGAGTGCTCCCAGCCAATCACCAAACCTGGGGCCGGACCTGGGGACCCCTGACACAATGGCTACCACTCACTAACTTTCTAGAGCTATACGTGGACGTGTGAGAGCGTGTGTATGTATATATGATTAGGCTTGATTCTACTCAACAGGCATTTTCTGAAGACAGGCTATATGAATGGCAAAAAGGGGAAGATATGAAGACTGATGAGGTACCCTCTATCCTCAAGGAGCTGATGATCTATTTGGGGAAACAAGAAGGTAAATAGCGACAGTAAGAGACCAAGTGGAACAAGAGGCAGCCCTGGTGAGGCTTCACAGGGGGTCTTAAAAGGAAAAAAAGTTTAAAAAAGGAGAAAAGGGTTTAATAAGAAAACCATGAGGATCAGGAGGCTACTTCTGGGCAAGAGAACACCAGCAGCAAACACAAGCACATGAAAATGTCTGTTATGCTCCAAAAAGCAGAGGGTCCATGAAGAATTGTGCTTAGAAAGGCAGCTTATTAGGACTGGAGCTGGCGAGAAAGTCTGGTCTCTTCTCTTGTAGGCAATAGAATCCTTGGAAGGGGTTTGCCTACGAGTGACATGATTCAATCTGTGTTCTGGGACAATAACTGTGCTAGTAGCAAATGGACAGAATAAGTAAATCACAGCAGACAAGGAAACAAGTTAGAGGCTCCGAAGATTCCAAAGACAGATGAGGAATATGTAAGAATGTAGCATACACTAAAGGTAGCATTTTCAATCAGTGGGGGAAAGGACAAATTATTCAACTAATGATGTTTAAAAACTGACGATTCATTGGGAAAAAATTAGATTCTAAGCTCATGTTATTTCGAAAAATGAATTCTAAAGGGAATAAATATGTATGTGTTTAAAAATTAACCATAAAACCACTTAAAGGAAATACCATAAGGAATTTTTGTAAGGATAAATATGATAAGAAATCTAGAAGCCATATCGAACCAACTCAAATAAACTCATGAACATTTATAAGTTTTGTGATGTAAAAGCCACCATAAACAACTGACAAACATAAAATAAATACCAGCAAAATGTATGACAGGTTAATACCCTCAATAAATCAAGAGTGCTTACAAATAAATAAGAAAAAGTACTATCCCTCAACAGAAATGCTGGCAAAGCACAGAAATAAGGAAATTGGGGGAAGGTATGCAATCGGCCAATAGACCCATAAAACAATGCTTGCATCATTAATAACCAAAGAAAGGTAAATGAGAACTGTTTTCTTCTATTAGGGTGACAATGGATAACAAAGACTGATAACGTGGAGAACTGGCTAGCGTGTAGGTAAACAGGCCCTTTCAGGTACTTCTGGTCAGAGGAGAAACGAGTAAAAGGCAGACTGTGGCGAGGTACCAAAATGTCAGTGTGCCCAGTGGTGTTACCGAAAATAAAGAAAACCTGGAAGCTATCCCAAAGTCATCAGCAGAGGCTTGGTTAAGCATGTCAGCAATTATCAAACTGGGGGATGCCTACCATTAGGGACACGTGAAGACTTTCTAAGGAGCATATGGGGACAGATAGTTTGGAAAGAAGTAACATCTAGATCTTCAAATTCCCAGTGTTCACTTTCCAAAATTAACCTGTCTGCACAACTGATTAGGGCTGGTCCCTCACCTCCTACTTTATATGAGAAAGATACACCTTCTTATCCTGAATTTTACTACTCTGCATTACCTGGGGATCCCCCAAAACAGGGCAATTGGAAATACTGGCAATGATGTCAAGAAAATGAACCTGCCCTAGCAGCTAGTAGTAAGCAGCATACTTCTGCAAGCCACATGGCTTCTGATTCTTTGCTTCTGTTTAATAAAATTGAAGAAGGACAAAGTCGAGCTGTCAGTAAAAGAACATTCAAAACAGTTTTCAATGACAGATCACTAAGTGTTTTTTTGGCCTATAATTCAGTGAGTCCAAAGAACCAAGTGGCATTGCTACAAGAAAAGTCCTTTCATTCTCATCTACTTAATCATATAGACAAAGTTTCTCAGGACTTACATCTATAAAAAGAAAAAAAAATAGAATTAGAATGGATACTTAGAACACTACATTATTCTACTAGCAATAAGTAACATTTCTATGCGAATACATGAACTATCTGAAAAGAGATATGCATTTCCAATACACCTTTTGTCTAATCAATACTTAACAAAACCTGTAATATATTTATGCTACTCTGATCAACTATAAGGCTACCTGAATGCAGAGGAAATATTTAAAGCCTAAGAGTCACAGAAATCTATTAACATTATATGTCAACTTTGATTTGGTGATCAATAAAAACTTCCCAAGATCAAAGTCTATGGGGGAAACAGAATGAAATCCAAATTGAAGGCAAAAAAGGGAATGATACAAAATTTCTTACAATAAAAGAGGTTGTTTGCATATTTTAGAAAGTGAATGATGTTAAGTCATCAATTTTGGTGGTGCGAGGTTCCACTGAAGAGCTTCCAAAGAATGATGTAACAGTTTTAGTTAAGACTCTCAGTATTTATGTGCCAGAAATTATATATACCCCTTGTAACAATTTAAACTTATGACAAAAAAAAATGCTATTAGAAACTGACCTAAAAGTGTGCAAGGAGGTAAATAATTTTTCAAAATTTCAGGGTATGTAAGCACAGAATGGAAATAATATGCAGCCATGAAAATGAATGAGATGAATGAAGTAATGAGGGACAGAGGACTTGCACTGGCTGATGTAGGAAGGAGAACCAGGAGGATTACCAGAAGTTTCTAGACTGGCTGGCTGGCTGCAAGGAAAAACCAGTGGTCTGGGGAGGAAAGCGAGTTTGATTTTATTTTTAACAGTGTTACTGAGATCGAATTCACACACCATTTAAAGCTTAGCCATTTAAAGCATAGAATTCAACAGTTTTTTAGTATCTTCACAGAGGTGTGCAACCATCAGTCACCACAACTGGTTTCAGAGTATTTTCTCAGCCACAAAGAATCCTTATACCTGTTAGAAGGCACACACATGCCCCTATTTTCTCCTAATTCCCTGGTCTCTGGCTACTGCTAATCTATTTCCTATCTCTATGGCTTCATTTATTCTGAGTGTCTCATATAGATGGACTCCTACAATAGGTGGTCTCTGTGACAGACTTCTGTCACTTAGCATCATGTTTTTAAGGGTCACCCATGCTACAGTGTGTGTCGGTGAAAGTCTGATTTTGAACATGCTGAACGTGAGGTGCCTTCAGGGCAGCCATGTGAGGGTGTCTTGGAGGCAGCTGGAAATCTGTAGCTCTGGAGAATGGTCAGGGCTAAAGACATCACCAGAGGTAACAGCTAGGACCTTGGGAAGAGGTGCGGGCAATTAAAGCAAGGAGAAAGAATAAACAGAAGAAAGAATGCTAGGGAATGCCTATATTTTTTAAAGGATGTATGGACAAAGAGAAAGCACCAAATAAAACAAAGAAGTCAGAGACGTAGACAGGAAAACTGGAGGCTCCTGAAGTCAGAAATGTCTGAAGGTGAGGATGCCCTCCAGGGACAAAGCAGGTGCGTTGTCGACAGTCTTGCTGAGTCCCCTGATCTTGGCTCCCAGCCTATCTTTGCATTCCACAAATTCTGAGGGATTTTTCAAGCCAAGCACCACAGATACCAGTCTTTAACTTCCCTCTTGCAGGGTCTTTTCACTTTCTCCTTTCTCTCCTTCGCATCCATGGCCAGCGCTCCGGTCGGCACCTTGCTGACAGGCCCCCTGAGGACCGCTAGTGCAGCTGTGATGCTCAGGAATGCCAGGTCTCCCTGACTGAACACACAACTGCTAGTACCTTCTCAGAAGCGGTGTTCTCAGAAGTGGTTTCATGAATTTTAACTGCATTCTTTGTCCTACTCTGGTACATATTCTGACCCTCAAGAGTTTCTGAAAACTTCGTGATGAGTGGAGGATATTTAAGGGGGTCACTTGTGAATGACTGCTAATAAAAGACCAGCTTTATTCCAGGTGGTAACAGACATGCCTCCCACCCCCCTCATCTTCTAGCCCAAGCACAGAATTCAAGAGAAAGGTGACACAGTAAAAGGGAATCTGGGTGCCAGAATGGGATTAATAATGACAAGTGCGGATAAATCAGGAGGAAGAATTTCACTTCCGTACTTCTTAATACTGCTTGGGAATCCTGCTCCTTTGTTGGCAGCTGGGGAGCCACAACTGCTCTTGTTAAGCAGGACAGGAAGACATACCAGGAGCGCGTCTAGGATCAATCTCCTTCCCCTGCGAGACTGTTCGCCGTTGGAGGGCAGAAGCCCATGTCTGATGGCACAGTAACCAGATCCAACTACATTTGGGCATCACAAGACTTTCACGCCATGAAGGATCATCCCAGGCATTTCACCAGGGCCGGGGAGTGAGCAGTCCAGACGAGATCAATCTAAGCCTTCCTGGTGGACTACGAGGCATGTACGAATGTGTACGTTCATATCTAATCTCAGGCTCAAGCAGCTCCTAGATGAATTCATTGGTCATGAATCTTTAATTAATCTAGGTGGTGATCTAATAACAACTAAAAGAATGAACTCCCTATTAGGGCAAAAAGCCAGACCAGTGCACAGATACTGCCCAGACTATAGCTTCTCTCCGGGACAGTCCTTCAAAGTTCTCTCCAATACAGAAGCTTGAGATGAAAAGTGATACAAATGGCACTTCACACTCAGTAACTCTATTTGAGCACAAGTGTCCCTAATCTAAGGGAAAGGGGACGCAAGCAAGACTGGAAAAAAACTGAAGACTCCAAGCCTTCATCTCTTTTCTTCAGGGCATAAAGGAGGAGGTGAAATGAACGGGTCTAAGTCATCAGTTTATACACATGGAATGGGGTTTCAGAGCGCACGGAACCACTGGGACAGCCCAAAGGCCAGGTAAGCCTTAAATACCCTACTGCAGACCTTGGCAGAAACAGACCTGCGATGCCCAATGTCTCATTCCTTTCCCTAAAGGTTGGAGTATGTGGAACTCAGCCGTCACGTAGGGTGCTAGAAGTAGCAGATGTACCTAATTTCATGCCATACTGGTAGAGCTGGGCCTTGTTCAAACACAAACCTATAAAAAGCCTATTTACACCTTGCTTATAGGCACTGACAGTAGCCAGAATGGAAAAGCCCATGTCAACGTAGCTACACAACAAAGACATATGAAGTAGCATCCAGAGGGGTAGGCCTAAGAAAAAGAGTAGTAGACACTGACTGTTAAAATGTGCAGTGTCTCAGGACTACTTCTAAAGCACCTAGATGGCAGCAAAAGGCAAAAGGAGGCAGGCGATGAGCTGCACTGGACCTTAATGCTACATTTTGGATGTAACTGATACATCTTGGATGATACAAAAGCCAAGGCCCTAAAGACTGGAGCCTCATAGCGGCTTGTGGCCCCTTCTAGGACACACTTCTTCTTCTTTTTTTTTTTTTTTTTGAAGATTTTTATTCATTACAAAGAGAGAGAGGAAGACAGATAGCTTGTGTGAATGGGGAGAGGGACAGAGGGACAGAGAATCCCAAGCAGACTCCGTATGGTGCAGAGCCCAATGGGGGCCTTGATCTCAGGACCCTGAGATCATGACTCAAGCCAAAATCAAGAGATGGACACTTAACCAACTGAGCCACCCAGGTGCCCTTCTGGGACACACTTCTTATGTCCTAAGATGAAGGCCTGATGTCTGGTTTCTATTTGCTGTTAAGTGAAGCTGGTGGTCACTGTGGTCTGGAAGGACTGGGTGCTCAGTAAGAAATGGACACAGTGAGGCTAAAAAAAGAAAGACTAAATGGCACAAGTTCAATGAGCATACAGAAACTGCAGGCTGAAGCAGACAGTCAAGCACTCAGGAACCCCCAGTCATCTAAAAACTGGAGGAAAAATAGAGTCAAAAGAAGAGAACACAGAGCAAACGGAAGAGAAACACAAGTACCTGAAACCCAACCTTGCAACTGAGAATAAGGCTTGCCTCAGCCTTCCTCCTTGAGTGGAAATCAGTGACTCGCTTCCCTGTGAACAGCCAGGCTGCCAGCTGTGACTGGGGACAAATACCTAGGAGGTCTGCTGCAGATAAACTTGCCACACGAGACAGGAAGAAAAGCAGCAACTCAATCTGACACTAGGGAGGTGGTACAAGAGGGGAAAATGTGTCCAATTACATTCAATTTTTAAAGAAGGGATGGCATTCCTAACATCAATAACGTCAAGAGTAACATGCATGGTGAGATTAGAAACTTTGCCAAAAGTATTCAGTTAAAACTGGGGGGTGAGAGAAATCACAGAAGATACAGTTAACGCTAAACTTAAAAAAGAGAGAGAAATTACAGAAGATAGTTAACTCTAGACTTTAAAAAAAATGGTTGTCAATTCCATTCTACTAGTACATCTTTTGAAAAATAAGTTTAACTAAAGTCACTAAGCAAGCTCAGTGTAAAGGTTTCACAAGTATGAATATTTAAGGAAACAGTTACAGTTAGAAAATTTATAAAACACAGTTGGACTAGTTAACAGTAACAATGGATATACACACATTTCTCAGAGAAAATATAGCCCCAAATGAACAAAAATGAGTCAGAAAATTGGCAAACATGCCTCAATTAACTGATGTAATGCTACTGTTCTCATTTAAAATATATAGAATGTAATTTTATGTCATACTTATGCTGCATTTTCAAATACCAACATGACATTTAAATAAAATCAACCCACAACTAAAAAAGAACAAAATTCAAATTATCAAGAAACTTTTTATTAAGAATTAGCACATGTGGCAATGGTTGCAAAGCATTATGAATGTAATTACTACCACTGAACTGTATACTTAAAAATAGTTAAAATGGCAAATTTTACGTTATATGTATTTTATCACAATAAAAAACAACATGAATGCGGGAAAGAAAAAGTGTATTTTGTAATTGTGTGCCCTTTTTTATACAGTCAGTTCAATATTTTTTGGTACTTAGATGATTCACATTGTATAAGGCTAAAATATACCAGTTAAAAGTCTGTACCTGAATTTCCATTTCAAAGATTAATCATACAACAGACATTCCAAAGTAAAAGGTTCAAACAGCTGACATATTCATGGTATTTGAGGCACAACAGCAAAAAACATTTTAACATTAACAGTCTCACAACTCTATTACCATCACTCCTTGAACTTTGTCTTCAACTATCATGCAGTAAGAACATCTGTGGGATCTAGGTTGTAACTTAAGTCAAAATTAATTAAAAAAAAAAACTTCATCCATTAAATAGAAATAATTTAGGAGCTCGAAAGTCACTCTGTACTTTTAAACGACCATAATGCAACTAACCTTTTTTTTCCTCAGTAACTTTTCTCTGAATTTATTAGTGATAAATCCCCTCGGACCGGCAAATCGTAACCGCTGATATTTAGCCTGAATGTATAAGCTCTTCTGCACTAGGCCTGATTTGTAGTGGGGCTGGGATCGGCCACCTCTGAAGTTGGTCTGTAAAGAAAAAAACAGTAAGTGCAAAAACTAAGGCTTCCAAATCTATTAGTATAAGAAATGGGAAAATGTCTGCTGCTTGGAACCACCCGTGATTCTAGGCACTACATGTATTAAAAGGGAAGAGGTTAATGATGGTTATAAAGTTTGTTTTCTTCAAAGTAGGCTTGTAGTTTATTTTAGATGACGATTTTTTTTAAAGATTTTATTTATTTATTTGACAGAGACCACAAGTAGGCAGGGAGGCAGGCAGAGAGAGAGAGGAGGAAGCAGGCTCCCTGCTGAGCAGAGAGCCCCATGCAGGGCTCGATCCCAGGACTCTGGGATCATGACCCGAGCCGAAGGCAGAGGCTTTAACCCACTGAGCCACCCAGGCGCCCCTAGATGACGATTTTTTAAATTTACATAAAAGCAATTTTTTTTAAAGATTTTATTTATTTATTTGACAGAGATAGATCACAAGTAGGCAGAGAGGCAGGCAGAGAGAGAGAGAGAGGGAAGCAGGCTCCCTGCTGAGCAGAGAGCCCCATGCGGGACTCGATCCCAGGACCCCGAGATCATGACCTGAGCCGAAGGCAGCTGCTTAACCCACTGAGCCACCCAGGTGCCCCATAAAAGCAATTTTTAAAAAGATTTTATTTACTTATTTGAGAGAGAGAGAGAGAGAGCATGAGTGGAGGGAGGGGCAGAGAAAGAGGGAGAAACACAAGTACACTCCTGGCTGAGCACAGAGTTCCATGACAGGGGGCTCGATCCCTGGACCCTGAGATCATGCCTAAGCCAAAGTCAGATGCTTAACCCACTGAGCCACCCAGGCGCCCCTACATAAAAGCAATTTTAAAAACTAAGTTAAAAAACTTGTAATTCTTGGGGCGCCTGGGTGGCTCAGTGGGTTAAGCCTCTGCCTTCACCTCAGGTCATGATCCCAGGGTCCTGGGATCGAGCCCCGCATCCGGCTCTGTGCTCGGCAGGGAGCCTGCTTCCTCCTCTCTCTCTGCTTGCCTCTCTGACTACTTGTGATCTCTCTCTGTCAAATAAATAAATAAAATCTTTATAAAAAAACAAACAAACAAAAAAAAAACTTGTAATTCTTTAAATTTGTCATGTGAAAACATGTAACTTTCAAAAACCTTACCTAATGAGCTAAAATTATCCTTTCGATTCATAATGAAATATATCAAATCCCAAATGGGGGAAAAACATTAAGTATCAACATCTATTTAAGAATCAAAAACTCTCTTAACTTCATTCCTGTCAGTATCTTCAAGCCAATCTTTATTTACCACAAAAATACCAGTATAGCAAATATTTTCAAGATAAGAGTTTACACTGAAAAAGACCATTTCTTGGCCTGTATATTACCTAGTATTATAACAGACATAAGAGGACAATGAATATTTGTTTGATTGCCATATGGGAAATGTACAAATGGTATATTATAATAGAGTAATTATAAAAAACCAAGCACATCCCTCTTTCCAGAATTATTTAACAAATGGGTATGTCATACATAATGAAGCACATTACTTTATTTAAAAAAGCATTCATGCCAGGCCTATTTTCCAGTTATTTTCTTAAGGCTACAAAAAATTCGGGTAAGATATAATTAGAGTAAGACACTATAGTTTCATTAAAACTACCTGTGCAAATTTGACATATCAGAGCTGATCTTGAAATTTACACTGTTCATTTTTACATTTCTAATAAAGTGACTACTATCTTGCTTTGAATTAGTCCATTAAAAAGCAAATTTTAATAAAATAGCTCCTTTTCTTAGAAAGGATTATTTCTCCTTCCAATTTTACTCTGAAGAATTATGAATTTCTAAACAATCATATAATATTACACAGCTTTAAATGACTGGTCAAAAGAAAAGATTATTGCATATATTTTAAAAACATTTAAAACTAATTAATATTAAAGATATTTTCCTTAAGAAGAACGGGTAATAGGAAATAGGACTTGTAAGGATCTTAGAAAAATACTACAAGCTGTATCTGACCGATAGGAAGCACTCACACCAGAAAGCCCAGCTACACTGCCTCTCAGTTACACAGACGTCACATTTTCAGTTGATTTTGTGGCTCAGGATGCAAGATTAAAAGATAGTATAAAACAGGTTTATATTCTATGGCCACTGCTATTTTTGAAAATCTAATGTCACACCTGTTTTTAGGTATATGAAACACTGGCTAAAAAGGTTATCTGCACAATGCCTTCAAATTGTGTTATTACAAATGGAAAAAATCTTCCGATATCTAGGAATTATGCTCTCAATGAGCCAGGTATTAATGGAAGACCACTCAACTACCTCTTAGTCTATGGTTTGGGGACAGTTTATACTACCTTTATGCTCCTATTAATTTTCTCCTAATGAGCTAACTACTCTATCCAGGCTGCTCACAAAAAAGCCTAGATTATTTTCCTTTCTTTTGGAGGGATGGGGAAAGAGGTTCTGTAGAGTTAAAAATATTAATAAAGTGGGGTACCTGGCTGGCTCAGTCAGTTAAGTGTCTGTCTTTGGCTCAGGTTGTGATCCCACGGTTCTGGGACTGAGCCCTGCTTTGGGCTCCCTGCTCAGCAGGAAGTCTGCTTCTTCCTCTCCCTCTGTCCCTATCCCCTCTCATGCTCTCTTTCTTGTTCAAATAAATAAAATCTTTTTTTAAAGATTTTATTTATTTATTTGACAGACAGAGATCACAAGTAGGCAGAGAGGCAGGCAGAGAGAGAGGAGGAAGCAAGCTCCCAGCTGAGCAGAGAGCCTGATGCGGGGCTCGATCCCAGGACCCTGGGATCATGACCTGAGCCAAAGGCAGAGGCTTTAACCCACTGAGCCACACAGGCGCCCCATAAATAGTATCTTTTAAAAATATATTAATAAAATACCAATCATAAGCAGGGAATTCCATCAAAATGGATTTTAAAAGTATGTCAATTTCTTTTTTAAGATTTTATTTATTTATTTGAGAAAGAGAGAGAGAAAGAGAAAGAGAGCACAAGTTGGGAGTAGGGGCAGAGGAAGAGGGAGAAGCAGACTCCCTGCTGAGCACAGAGCCCAATACAGGGCTCGATCCCAGGACCCTGAGATCATGCTCTTAGTCAAAGTCAGATGCTTAACGGACTGAGACACCCAGGTTCCCACAAAAGTATGTCAACTTCTGAGAACAAGAAAAGAAATATAGTACTTTATAATTCTTATTCGTATGTCTGTGGGATGAGGTGTTCTGAATAATTAATCACTTATATCAGACATAGCTACACAAACAATTGGAATGCAATGAAACAGGCTTTAACAAAGCTTACTGGACCAGAATTTTTCTCAGATGATGCAAAAGTCCTCTGAGGGTTGTATGCCTACAGGCAGGATTTTCTGTGAACTCTGGAAGTTAAAAAGCCATGCATTTACTTCTTAGAGGTAAAGGGGCAGGCTTAAATGGAAGGTCTAGAACCTTGTCTGCCTCTTCATCAAGAGCCAGCCCATCTGCATCCGTTTTATATATTTGTGTTTTCCATGTAATCTTTGAAAACAGGTTCCAATGGTTAAAAAAATACCTGAAACTCAAGTCCTGAGGAAACGGGCTATCATTAAACTGATTATAGTTAACTACAAATTTATGTCCAGAAATATTAGTTTATAGCTACTATTTGAAATATCACAAAAGCAGCTTTTAGTTTACTAACTCTTAGAAGATGCTCAAAGCATAAACACAAAGCTAGAATTAAATGGAAAGTAACACTCAATACCTTAAAAGGTCTTCTAAAGCCTGCTGTGTTTTGACGTCTTCCCTCAACTCCAAAGGGTTTCTGAGTAATGATGTCTTTTCTCTGCATAGTATAATTCTGCATGAAAAAAGTATTAGTATAGATTAATATATTTAAATTTTATTTTTAAAAGTTCATCTTATCATTTAAAAAATACCAGTTTTGGGCAGAGGACGTGAATGGACATTTTTCCTAAAGAAGACATCCAGATGGCCAACAGACACATGAAAAGATGCTCAACACCATTAATTATCAGGGAAATGCAAATTAACACGAAAACAAGATACCATCTCACACCTGTCAGAATGGCTAGAATCAAAAACTCAAGAAATAAGTGTTGGCAAGGATGTGGAGAAAAAGGAACCCTCAGGCACTGTTAGTGGGAATGTAAACTGGTATAGCCGCTGGAAACAATAAGGAGGGTCCCCAAAAAATTAAAAATAGAAAAACCATAAAACCTAGTAACTCCAATACTAGGTATTTACCTAAAGAAAATGAAAACAGTAATTCAAAAAGATATATGCACCCCAGTTTATTACACTATTATTTAAAATAGGCAAGATACGGAAGCCTCCTAAGTGTCTATCGATAGATGAATGGATAAAGAAATGGACTATTACTTGGTCATAAAAAAGAATGAGATCTTGGGGCGCCTGGGTGGCTCAGTGGTTAAATCCTCTGCCTTCGGCTCGGGTCGTGATCCCAGGGTCCTGGGATCGAGCCCCACATCGGGCACTCTGCTCTGTAGGGAGCCCCCTTCACCCTCTCTCTCTGCCTGCCTCTCTGCATACTTGTGATCTCTGTCTGTCAAATAAATATATAAAATCTTTTAAAAAAAAAAGAATGAGATCTTGCCATTTGCGACAACATGAATAGACCTAGAGGGTATTATACTAAATGAAATCAGTCAGAGAAAGACAAATACCATATGATTTCACTTGTATGTGGAATATGAAAACCAAAAGAAAATGAATAAACAAACAAAAAGCAGAAAAAGACCCAAAGAGACAGAAAACAAACTGATAGTTGCTGGAGGAGAGGGGGTGAGGAGTTGGGTAAAATGGGTGAAAGGGTGTGGGAGATCTAGGCTTTCAGTTATGAAATGAGTAACTCATAGAATGAAAAAGTCACAGAGGGGAAAGGTACGGCATAGGGATACTGTAAGTGCTACTGTAATAATGCTGTGCAGTGACAGACAGTAGCTACACTTGTGCTGAACATAGCATAACACAAAGATTGCTTGAATCATCGTGTTGCACACCTGAAATTACTATAACGCAGTGTCAACTACACTTCAATAAAAAGTTAAAAAAAACCCACATTTTAAATGTATAGGATTAGGGGCACCTGGGTGGCTCAGTGGGTTAAGCCTCTGCCTTTGGCTCAGGTCATGAGCTCAGGGTCCTGGGATCAAGCCCCAAATCAGGCTCTCTGCTCAGCCGGAGCCTGCTTCCCCCTCCCCCTCTGCCTGCCTCTCTGCCTACTTATGACCTCTCTCTCTCTGTCAAATAAACAAATAAAATCTTAAAAAAATAATAAATAAATGTATAGGATTGAAAACACAAAACATTGTAGCATGTAGCTTAGCTGCAGGAACATACATATATCCTCCTTCATGTAACCTGTGCTAGTTTGTGAGAAGCTAGTTTAATTCATGAATGTGAGAAGTATTAAAAAAATACTCCTGTATAACACAATGTGTGACCTTTTGGAAAATGGACTATACATCTAGTATTTTTTCAGGCAACCAGGAAAGAACCAAACCATTGTTAAAGAGTTCCCACTGCCTAAGAAGAAAACAAATTCTCAACACTGCAGGAGGCAGGTTTTGCTGACTCAGATAACTGATCTGATGGGATGCTCCTGCCATGACTAGGGAAGTATCGAAAGTCAGAGCATTAAGACTATAACTGCAAAGAACCAGAACCCTTTAATGGGAACAGAGAAGATGGGGCACATTCTGAAGTTTCTTTTTTCCAAAATCAAGTCTTACGACCTTCTATTCATTCCATTTGCTATTCCATTTCCTGTGCTTCTCACAAATCTTCCTCTTCCACACCTTTCTCTCTCCCCACAGTTTTTTTTTTTTAAAGTCATATAAAACCCTTTACATAGCAGTCATCTTTTTTTTTAAATTTTTTTCATCTTGAAGTGATACTAAGTCTGTAAATTGGAGTAAGTGCACAAGAATACATGTAATGAGATGAGACTCTGGGGCACCATGGTAGGGAACGGCGTATTTTGCAAGTGAAGGGAGGTGAATTCCGGGGCTCGGCGGGAGGACTGTACCAGACAGCTTCTGACCAGGCTCCCAGTGAGCCCCCCCACTCTAGTATCCAGGCCCCTATGTCATCCCCTTTCCCTTGAGTGTGAGCTAGACCTAGTGACTTGCTTCTTAAAAAGAGCATATGACAGAAGTGATAGAACATCACTTCCAAGATTAGATTACAAGCGGACTCTGGCTTCCAACTCTCTAGCTGTCACTTGTTTGCTCTTACTTTGAAAGCCAGCTGCCATATTCTGAACTCTTATGAAAGGGCAGATCTTTAGAGAGAGAAAGTAGATTAGTGGTTAGCAAGGGGTGGGAACGGGGAATAATCAAATAATCATGAGGGCTATTACCAGGGGGTCATAAAAGGTTATAAAACTGGATTATGGTGATGGTTACATATCTTGGTAGATTTATAAAATATCACTAAATTGTATACCTAAAATGGATGAAAATTTTATGGTATGTAAATCATATCTTAATAAAGAAGTTCTCAAAAAATCTAAGGGAAAAAAATCTTAAGAAAGCTAGTACTATAATAAATAAATAAAATCCTACTAAATCAGAGATAACGATCTCCTCTGTCATACGGGTAAGACTCAACAGATTATTAACACTGAGCAACAGAACCCTAACATGTACTTAATGAAGAGTTAGAAAAATACTGCTGATCTCTATACATATAGATACATGTGAGGAGAATGGAGTATACAAAAATGAAAAATTTAAAACTGCAATCTTACCATGTGAGGTTTCTGAATAAATTTTCTAAAATTTGACTTTAAAAAATCCGTAGGTTTTTGGAATTCATCAGCATGAGTACTCTTCAACCTCGAAAAACTGGAGGGCTGATCATTCCTAATAAAATGAAAGAGAGGAAGTTAAGAATATTTTATTAGTCTACCTTTACCCAACAAGTGAAAAAGAGAAATCAAATTGCCCCCTTCAGAGACAATTAAAGCAGCACAACAGTGAAAACAAACAAACAACAACAAACCTCAAAGATCTATCACTACTAAAATTACAAACGAAATGACAGTTACCAGGGCTAAAACCTTCATTTTTTCAACAAACATTATTTAGCTAAGTTGAAAATCAGCAATAGGGGGAAACAAGGTTTGGACCAGGGTTCTCGATCTGGGGTCCAAGGACAGGTTTCCTGGGGGCTGTAACCCCCGAAACCAGCCGTGGAATGCGTGTTTTCTGAGGGAAGATCGTCACTGCTCTTGAGACTTTGGCAGCACTGGGCCACCCACCTTGCTGACAGACTCTTTTTAATGAAAGCACCAAAGAATGTCACTGGCTCAGGCTCCCTCACTGGTAGAGCTGAGGCCTCTGTCACTGCTGGGCCATGGGAGGAGCAAAGGATAGGTCCCCTCTCCTGTCGTCACAATGTCCAGAGGCCACCAAGTCCTCTTCTCAGGCAGCCGGACCTGGGAGGGAAGGTCCTTTCTTGGGCTTCTCTTCCAAGGAAGAGGGGCCTCATTTTCACAGCCCTGGGGCAGTCCTCTCCCTGTTACACCCCACATCTCCCCACAACGTTCCTCTGACCCTTCCTGCTCTGTGGAGAACAAACTGCTCGCCGCCTCCGCTCTGCCTCAATCCCTTCCATGGGTCCCCCACTGACATCAAGGTAAAATCCACACTCCTCATCATGACCTTCAAGGCCCTTCCTGCTCTGGCCCTTGCTGTGTCACTGGTCGCTCTGCTCCCACCTCCCCCATACGCACACTGGGCATTGGAAACATTTAGCCCTTCGCAGTTCCCGACACACACAATCTCTCCTGCCTCCTCCAGTGCACATGAGCAATCCCTTCTATTATAATTTCCTTCCACGTAGATCAATTTCAAGATTTAGTTCCAACTGCACTGTTCCAGGGTCCTCGGAGGTGGACTAGATATCCCTGCTACGTGCACATGAAGCATTCGAAAGCCTTCACGCATACCACGCACATTCATAAATGCTGGTGCACCTGCCTGTCTTAGCCAGCAAGCTGTGATCCCCACAGGAGGCCCTGTGGGTGGTTCATTTTGTGGCCCCAGTTTTGACCCCCCCAAACCTGACATGGAATACTAATCAGAGTATTATGAAATGTTAAAAACTCTCATGTTCTGGCAAAATGCTCATGATATGATAGTAAGTCAAAAGAGTAGGGTACAAAGCTCTATTTGGAGGATAATTTAAAAAAAAAATTTTGTGGGGTTGCCTGGCTGGCTCAACTGGTAAGAGCAATTGACTCTTGATCTCAGGGTCATGGTTTGAGCCCCACATTGTGTGTGGAGCCTACTTAAAAAAATTTTTTCTTTTTCTTTTTTTTTTTTTTAAAGATTTTATTTATTTATTTGACAGACAGAGATGACAAGCAGGCAGAGAGGCAGGCAGAGAGAGAGAGGGGAGAAGCAGGCTCCCTGCTGAGCAGAGAACCCGATGTGGGGCTCGATCCCAGGACCCTGGGATCATGACCCGAGCTGAAGGCAGAGGCTTTAACCCACTGAGCCACCCATGCGCCCCTCTTTTTCTTTTTTTAAAAGATTTTATTTATTTGCTTGAGAGAGAGTGAGAGAGAGCATGAGAGCGGCGTGAGGGGGCAGAGGGAGAAGCAGACTCCCCTCTGAGCAGGGAGCCTGATGCAGGACTGGATCCTGGGACTCCAGGATCATGACTTGGGCTGAAGGCAGCCGCTTGGCTGACGCAGCCACCCAGGCGCCCAAGATTTTTTATTTTTAAGTAATCTCTACACCCAATGCGGGGCCCGAACTCACAACCATGAGACCAAGAGTCACATGCCAGCCAGGTGCCCCAAGGATAATTTTAATTATCTAAAATATACTATATGTGTGCCCAGAAAAAATAAATGACAGGAAATGTATTAACAGTGGCCATCTCTGACTCATGAAATTAAGAATGCCTTATATTTTTATTTTATACCTTATTATATACTTCTAAATGTTTGCCATTAGAATATACTACAACTTTTGTAAGTAAAACAATGGACTTTTAAAAATCCTCTTTGCAAAGCATTTATCTGGATAATGGAGTAATGTCCAGAATATATAAAGAACTTACATCTCAATAATAAAAATAAAATAATCCAAGTTAAAACATGGGCAAAGGATTTAGAAAGGTATTTCTCCAAAGAAGACACACAAAAGGGACATGAAAAGATGCCCAACATCATTAGCCATTAGAGACATGCAAATCAAAACCACAATGCAATAACATTTTATACCTACTAAGATGGCTATGATCAAAAAGATGATGCCATCAATGTCCCTGACAGCATTATTTACAGTAGCCAGAAGATGGAAACAAAGTTAATGTCCATCAACAGAAAAATAGACAAATAAATGTAGTATATACAATGGAATATTATTCAGCCTTATGAAGGAGTGAAATTTTTTTTTATTTGACAGAGATCACAAGTAGGCAGAGAGGCAGGCAGAGAGAGGAGGTGGAAGCAGGCCCCCCGCTGAGCAGAGAGCCTGATGTGGGGCTCGATCCCAGGACCCCGGGATCATGACCTGAGCTGAAGGCAGAGGCTTAACCCACTGAGCCACCCAGGAGCCCCGAAGGAGTGAAATTTTTTTAAAAAATGAAATTCTGACACATGACACAACATGGATGAAAACATTATTCTATGCAAAATAAGCCAGAAACAAATGGACAATTAATATATGATTCCACTTATATATATGAGGTACCTAGAATAGGCAAATTCACAGAGATAGAAAGAATAGAGGTTATCAGGGGCTGAGAGTAAAGGGAATGGGGAGTTACTCTTTACATGATACAGAGCTTTTGTTTGAGAAGATGAAAAAACTGTGGAAGTGCACAGTGTGAACGGCTGCACAACACTATGTACTTCAAGCCAATGCGTCGCACATTTAAAAATGGTTAAAATGGCAAAATTTATTATATGTACATTTTGCCATAATAAAAAAATGTAAACCGTCTGATAGATCTATGACCAGGCAAAAGAGTGTCCAAGTTAAAGAAATGATTTCTCAGCCTCCTTGCAGCTAGGTATGGCCATGAGACTAAATTTGGACCAAAGTTGCTGGAGCTGCTTGCATAAATTCCATGAAGTCTTTAATGACAAGGCTAGAATATGGACATGATGGCCAAGGCACAAACACCCCTCCTGGGCCATGAGGCAGACACCACATGCAGAAGATATCTGAGGAGCAAGTCTACCCTACCTACCATGCTCTGACTTCCTGACTGTAATCTTTCTCTACAATGAGAAAGAAATGATTTTTCTTTTGCTCTTATAGTCAATTCTCTACCCAGCAACCAGGGTGAATCTTTTAAAATTTAAATGAGATTACATTTCTTCTTGGGTTAGAACTCAAAATGTTTTATAATCTCACCCAGAGTAAACTACAAAGTCATCATGTCCTCCAAGGTTCTTTGCAATCTGGCCTTACCTACCCACTCTCTTCCTTTCCCACTGTGTTACAATCTTAAGGGTCTGCTTTCTAGTCCTGAAATAAGCACGATTCTGCCTGAGGGTCTTTCCCTTTAGTTTCTTCTCTTAAAATACTATCCCCTAAAAAACCTTACCGCTAACTCCCTCACTTAATTCACATCCCTGCTCAATTAAAAAAAAAATCCTAAGTGCATTCTATAACTACCTAAATAAAATCACACCACACATATCACTCTGTCCTACTAAGCTTCCTCTTTTGCCTTACTTTCACCTATCACCCACCAACATGTATTTATTTATTTTCTCCTACCATTAAACTGTAAGCTCAACGAGGACAAGGACTTGGTGTATACCTTTTCACTGGACGTTTTCTATGCCCTGTGTAGCTAAAAGGAAAGTCTCGGCAGTCTGATGGCCTCCCGAAGTCTACTGATTTTATTTTGAAGCTGCTTAATCCCCCACACACCATAGCTATATATACAGAACAACACCTTGGTAACACTGTATGGAACTTAGTAAGAGTGGATACAAGAGGCAGAAAGAGTGGGTCAGGAGAAGACATGAGGATATTAGAATAAGAGATTGGTCAGAAGTGGCGGGGGAGAGAATAGGGTCTCTGAGACTAGACAGAACGTCCCAGCATTAGGTTTGCTTGGGAAAGATTACCTTGTGTATTAGGGAATAAATACTAATCAAAACTTAAATGCATTACAGTGTAAGTATCCTCTGTCCTATGTATTCCTTTGCAAAGTCTTCATTCATTCAGTAGCTCTGAACTGAGCTCAAGGCAGTGGTAATACAATGGTGGGCAAACACACACACAGAGCTTGCATATAACTATTTGAGGAAAGAAAAGATCACATAGGTGGGAAATTGCTACATCCTGTGATTTATGATTTCATATTTCATTTCTTCTGAATTTCTACAGAAATCTAAATGTTGACTTGATTAAATAGGTTTATGCAAAAACAGTAACGAGATCAATTTCATAGATTGAATTTCTAAGACAAAAGGATAAAATCAACAGTTTTTTTTCCTTATTTTAAGAAGGAAATAGAATTAGGATAAAGTTAAAGGTTTTACATAAGAGACTCTTAATCTCACAAAACAAACTGAGGGTGGCCGGGGGGAAGGGGGTAGGAGAGGGTGGTGGGCTTATGGACATTGGGGAGGGTATGTGCTATGGTGAGTGCTGTGAAGTGTGTAAACCTGGCGATTCACAGACCTGTACCCCTGGGGCTAATAATATATTATATGTTAATAAAGAAAAAGAAAAAAAAAGTTAAAGGTTTTAAATGATTTTTTCTCTAAATCTTTTTTTTTTAAAAGATGAACAATAGCAAATACTTGTGAGGATGTGAAGAAACTGACCCGTTCATACACTGCTGATGGGGATGTAAAATGAGGCAGCCACTGTGGAAAACTGGTAGTTCATCAAGAAGTTGAATACAGAGCTATCACAGGACCCAGCAATTCCAACCCCAGGTATGTACCCAAGATAGATGAAAACATATGTCCACACAGAAACTTATGCATGAATATTCACGGCACCAAAATTCACCACAGGCAAAAAGTGGAAAGAACCCAAACACCCACCAACTGGTGAGGGGATAGACAAAATGTGGTTATCCATACAATGGAATATTATTCAGCCATAAAAGGAATATTCATGCTACAACATGCAGCAATGTTGAAAACAATATGCTACATGGAAGCAGTCAGCCACAAAAGACCTCATATCATATGACTGCATTTATATGACACGTCCAGAATAGGAAATCCCTAGAGACAGAAAGTAGGTGAGTGGTTGCCAGAGGCTGAGGGAAGGGAGAAATAGGGAATGACAACAGGTTACGGGGTTATAGGACTTCTCTGTGGAGTGGTGAAAACGTCCTGCCATTAAACAGTGGTGACAGATGCACAACTTTGTGAATATACTAAAAACCAGTAAATTCACTCTGAAAGGATAAATTTTGTGATCAGTAGTATCTCAATTAAAACAAATCCTCATGCCACAGCAGCTGTCCAATACCAATAAAACAGTCCAACACGCCTAGCAAAAGAGAGAGAGCCATCTTGGCGTGCTACACGCCATCCTCAAAGTGAACACTAATAATACTTAACGCTGACCGGCATCTCTGCCCCTTACACCCGACACATTAATTAATCTTCACCACCACCAGGAGGTAAGAATGCTTCTCATCTGTGTTTGATGTAGGAGGAAATAAAGGCGAAATAACTTGCCTCGGATCAGTCACCAAGCTAGCTGTCTACAGAGCCACGTGTTGAACTGAGGTGCAACTCCAGGGCTCAAGCCCTTTCTCACCTCAAAGGGTAGAGATATATTCTGAAGCATTACATGGTTTTTATAAAATGCTGATTATCTTAGATCTGGTTTGAAAATCCTCTTTCTTGGCACACTGAGTTTCTTATACTTGCTGAGTTAAGAACAGCATAAGAGAGAGCTTATGTCACTGAAGAGCATAGTCATGCCGTGTCCCATCAGGAAGCCGGAGACTTGCACCCACCAAGGAACAAGATTTTAACTATTTTATTTTCAGTTGTTTTATATGCCTGAACACACGGCTTTGCTATCTTTTAATGAGTTCCAAACTTATTATCAGCAGCAAGTCCGGTTTTGAACAGGCTCCGTGTATTGTGACTCAGACCTAGTTAGCCGCAGACCTGATTTAAGTCTACTCAGTTATCTTAGTAATTTGATTTTAAGGAATATGGGAAAAGAATTAGCACTGGTCCTTCCTATTCACACACCCCTGCTTTCTGAGAGACCCAAACAGTCTGAAGAACTTTGGGCGTATCTGAAATTTTGTCCTATTCAACTATACCTCATAATCATACGGGGTCCCAGAGTTGCCATGAATCCCACATAGTTTTTAGAACTAGAGATAAATGGAGGCCAATCTAGTAATACTCAGAGCCCCTAAAAGAAGTACAGAGTTGGGAAAGAAAAACAAGGATCTACTGATACTCAGTTTGCCACGCATGCCTTAAGTATTTTGCCTGTGCCAGCTCATTCAATATTTCTAACCTGTCCACATTATAAATTGGTTCTCCTCACTTTATAGAGGAAAATGCTCCCAAAATGAAAGCCAGTTTGCCCACGAGCAAACAGCTTGTAAAATGGCAAGGTGGGATTTCCATTCCTGTTTCCTCCACATTTTCTACTACCCCTGCCTCTGCTTCGTGGACAGACATCCATGAACAGTTCCAAAAGAGAACTGTATTGACCTCAGGTAATTCTGTAATATGCAGAAAGTACCAGAATCTAAAGGGCAGAATATGTTAGAGTTTCAATGAGGTTGAGTCAAACAGTCCATACATTTGCAGGTCCTGGCACCTGCTGATCATCAAAAAGCTGTTACACTCTTTTCTAGAATTACAAAGACCTCAAATACTCACCTACCCCTGTGTTTCTGTTGTTTCAATCAAACAGCATATGATGATCCCTGAATAACTTTGAAACATTTTAATAGATTTCACTTAAACATATAAAATGGATTTGAAGGATTAAATCCCTACACTAAAATGAAAATCATCACACACAAAAATTGAAAAATACGCTAAAACCAAAAGCTCCCTGATAATAGGATGTTTTTCATCTACTGATTACCTCTCTGCAGCACTAGCTATGTGAAAAATGTGCTCATCTTCATTCTGTAACCGTTCTTTTCTCCTTCTTTCAATGTCATGTCGTAGATCATTTGGATCTATTATTTTGACCAGAGTCTGAGGAATTTTGACAGAAGACAAACCATTCACATTACTGTTAGTTGCACAAAGACCATATCTAATAAGAACCTTAAGTAAAAGTTCTAAATAAGTTACCTTGTATTCACCCTGCTAATGGTAGTGTAAATCGATTAAAATATTTTGAGACACAATTGACAATGCACAGACAGAAAAGTTCATAACAGTGAACCAGGAATCCTACCTGTGGGACTCTCTCAAAGAAATGGCTATCTCCCCAAATATATTCAAAGTGCTAGATTTAAAATCATCAAAAAATGAAAGCAACTTAAATGTAAAATAAATTTACAGGAGAAGGGAAGAATGATTTCATGGGAAATTTAAGTCAAAGTAATAACGCACAAACATTTGAATTATGGATTAATATAGGCTATGTGGAAGTCAATGTGAAAAAAATAACTACTGAGAAAAGTTAATTAAAATTTAAAAAGCTTCAATCATAAAAAGTCATGGGGAACTCAGAGATTTTACTTAAAGCAACATTATTAAGTAAAAAGCAAAAAGCATCTGAAACTAATATACTATGATAGCAGCTATGCTAAAATGCCAGATGTAAGACTACAATAAAAGATGATCAAATGATATTTTCTGTTAAGTGGTTGACTTAGAGGTGATTTTTCAAATTTCCTATGAGTTGATTACAGTTTTTTGACGAATAGATATTTTCTGAAAATAGCACCTATTCAATAAACCAACCTATCTCTGTAAGTTTAATAAAAATTGTAACCATTCACAAGTGAAAAATTTATTTACATATTCTATCAGAAATGTATTAAAATCGTTCCGCTACAAAAACATTTCACTCTCAGTGAATAAATTAGCAGTTCTTTGAGAACTTGATATACTTCTAAAATGAGAGCCAGTTTTCTTGCCCCTCCCTGGCTATTCCACAGAGTTTTTCTAATTAGCAAAGAAATGGGGGGGAGGTGAGGGTTGAGGAAGTGTTGGGTGGGCATACAGAGCATGGCGATACACAAAAATCAGTGTTATTTCCATTATTTCGCTAGTTCATATTCCACAGAACTTTTCATACATTCTATAGTAAACAGAAGGGCAGTATCAAATTAAACTACGTTCTCCTGCATTCATCCACATACAATTTAAAAAAATATTCCCCATGACTGCTTGGGAAAAACGTAGGTATCAAACATACTTTCCACAAGCTTTACAATAGTGTGACGTTTTAGAATGAATATTAAATGCTGTAACTTTTGTCCATTTCACAAAGCTGTTACCCTTAGGGACTGTCTCTCTTAGGGAATATTTTTGTCTTTTGTCAGTGTTCTCTCTGCAACCTAGCCAGTAACTAGAACCTTTGGAGAGCTTTGTAAATTTCAGATCCCCCCTTTTTTAAAATCTCTATTACCAGTTCGCTTTTCCATCAATATGCCAACAACGTGAAACTCTTTCAGCAAAAATTGTATTCACTTACCTGTTCTGGTTCATATACCATAGTTTGTTTATTCTGAAGCTCAGCCAAAGACATATCTATTCTCCTAAAATAATAAAGGCATATTACAATTAAATAATTATGTTATACACTGATACCTTGATTCCATTACTAGAGAATGGAATTCGAAATAAAGTTGGTGTGTCTTGGAGGAAGCAAAAGAAACCCGCCACCAGGTGGGTTTTCATCTACACGGCAGTATCCCAGGACACACATATCCTGTGAACAACATCACAGTGACACCTCAGTGGTTCTCAAATCGCTAGTCTGTGTAACCTTAAACTTTGCTCCGGTGATCTACTGCATTCTAACATTGATTCAGCTCAGCTCACGAGACAGGGCACACCACCTGCTCGGCCAGGTGCCAGCAGAAGAAGACATAGGTTTTCATCCGGCTGCCCTCAGAACAGCCATTTCTGACCACATGAAGCAACCCATGATTTCAATGGCTCGACAATTGTCTTTCATTCTTCCAGTGATAACTTCAGTAGGCAATTACTATAGACACAGCAGAATCAAAGTTAGGTAGGTAAAGATTGTCAAAGTCCTGCACATTTAAACAATGCTACTCAATGGATTTAATACAACCTATTCCATCAAAGTACACTGGCCCAGTACCAGCTTGGGTTTAGTCCTGGCTTTTAGGTAGGAAAAGAGTCCTAGAGTCTACAGCAAGCCCACAAGGCAGCACCTTCCCAAATCTTTGAGACTTATTCCCAAGAATTAAATGGGCATACAATAATCAATCATTACCTGTGAATTTCTGGATCTGAATTCAATTTAATTTCATTTACATCTGCAGCTTGTATATCTCGCATTTTTGAAAAACGCTCATGCAGAGTAAGGTCAGATGATGGAAAATAATTTGCTGAAAAAGGAAACAAAGAGTTTTATCTCAGTGTAAAACGGACTCCGCTTAAAAGATCATATATAAGCACAGGAATAAGGGATTGTTAAAAAACGTCCCATCTCTTTTCTCTTGGAAATAAGTGGGACCTAAACTTATTCCACAGACTAATTTATAGCGCTCATATGCCTTCCCAAGCCTAAGCAACAGTAAAAAATGCCTGACTTATGAACACAAGGCTTCTGTTCCTATTTGACCTGCCCGCTTATTTGCTGGGGGAAAAGCTCTCTCAAAGCGAGGACCTTTCTTCTCCCAGGTAAGACCTTAGTGTACTGGGAAGTAAAGATGGTACAGAGTTTTATAGTTCGCCCAGAGGAAAAAAATAAAAACAACCCTGAGACATCAGAACAGTTCCCAACAAGTGCTAAATGTTGTTTACATGTCACAGAAGGAGTCCTACTGCCATTGTACTTGAATTAACATTAACTGAAGTTGGTGAAGACATTATGGAACAGCTATGCTACAAGGGTTTTAACAGGATAGAGAGAAAGACAATACACCCGACCCATCAGAATGCTACTTAAGCAGTCCTTTTCTCTAACTTACTGTTCCTGTTTTGGGACAATCGCCTGGATTTGTCTGCAATATCACCTCCCTTTCTGCCAAGAATCACACTTCTCTGGGTGAGAGGGGCCGGAACTGAGAAAGGTGAACTATCTCAGGCAGACCGCACACTTCCAAGTAAATATGTGCCTTAGTTTGAGGGATTCAGAGAAAATAATCTGTCTTTAAAATATGTTGATGAAGGTAAAAATAAAATCAGTGCAAATATCCAGTAAGAAACAGAAAATAAAAAGTTTGAAATTCTTGAAGGTCTCCAGTTTATTATACCCATGATTGCTTCATTATGCAGTATCAATGAAGAAAGTTGTTCTACGTGACTCAATTTTCCAATTAATGGAAATTGGCCAGAAGCTAAAACAAAACGATTTAATGCAAATATTTAAAGTGTTTGTGATGCAACTCCCTGATGCCATAAAGTATAAGCAAATCAAACCGGACTCTTTCGTCAATCACTTCATGTTCACCCTTATGGCACAAGGTCTCAGCACTGCCCTCAGGGGGCTTTAAGAATATCACCACAATACCTAGACTTCCAGAGTTCTTGTCAAGTTTCATATACGGTGTTTGTTGCTTCCTCCTTCCTGTTTGGTTATCAGTTACTGTTTCTTGCAACTCTCGGTTGTCCTGTGTCTTGCCGCAGCCAACCTCTCCCTTTCTGACTTTCAATTTGTAATCTACTATGATTTGAAGTACCAGGTTATTGGAACAACACATGAAGAACGAGGCTTGAATTAATACCTTACACTCTCTATAACAGATTTCCTTATTAATGACCTAATTTATAATGAAATATTAGTATTACTATATCACAGATATTTACCTATATCTTGTGAAAAATCAGTACATTATTTTTGTGTTATCCCTAATGTATGTGCAAAATATACCAACCTTTAACTTGATGGATTATAGTTATGATTTCCTGAGCAAATTCTCCTGTAGGTTTGTTTTCAGTATTCTGAGTTGAGTCAAGATGTTCAAACACTGGATGAAAGTTCTCACTTTTCCTGCCAACAGCAACCAAATCATGTGACATCTGTCTCTCTGTGGAATAGCTAGAAGCAACCCTAGAATAATTTGTAAATGTTTAACTAAATTTGAAACTATTTTACTGAGAAAAGAACTTATTAAAATTAACCAAGATAGCTATAAAACTAAAAAGATGTTTATCTTTTCTTATAGTTAAGGCACTAAACTGTAAGCCGTAGAACACGTGCAATAATGCGCAGGAGGAAACAGCCTTCGACCCGGGGTTTTGCGCTCTCCTTTTCAAATCAGAGATCATTAAATATTTGCCACTTTAGTAATAAAATCCTCAAAATTCTAAGTTAAACAGTTTTTACCTCCAAAAATACACCAAGGCATCAAAGGTCAATATGCAAAAAATAATCAGTTAGATTATTTTTACTCCCAAATGTCCGTAAAATTGTAAATCCAGCAAGTTTATACTATCTTGAAGTACTACCACACTTTAAAAGCTAGTATCAAACACAGTAACTTTGTTGACTTCATAAAAATCCTTATACCTCTATATCAGCAATGAAAAACTCAGTATTTTGAAATCAAACTCTGTTGAGATTAATCACTTACAAAATTTCACTAAACTGTCAGCAAATAGTCTTAGACGTTAGCAAAGTTAAGATCGTTAGAACCAATTAGTGTTCACCCTAAATGTATCCTTAAAGAAATGCTACCATTTCTTACACAACCCCAGCTGTCCTGCCACTCTAATGCTTTCTGAATCTTTATAACTTGTGTTAAAAGCTCTCTTGACCTTTAGGAATCATCATGAAGTCATGATTATGACATACAGCTAACAGTTGCTGAGGGCTTACTGCAAGCCAAACACAGGGGCTCAGAACTGGTTTGCAGACATTACCTCATTTCATCTTTACAGTAGCCTATGGGGAAAGTGCTACGACACTGGGACAATGGCTGTCTTGGTTGTTTTGCTTTTACATCCCAGAAGCTGAGTGTCTGTATGAACATAATCTTTCCAAGTGTCATAATGGGAAACTATACCTTATTCCAAGAAAGCTGCTCTTGCTTAAAACTACTCTTAAATTCCTTGTCTGCAGGCAGATTATGTGTCACAGAAGAAACTGTCTCATTATTTTATATTTATACCTCATTTTGGACCCAAAATGGCACTAACTAGCTTTCAGCCATCTTACTCCTCTGCATTTAACTCTAAATAACTTTTCCCTCTTCCCAAAACTCATGTTCACTACCCAAAAAACTGAGATTTACAAGTGCTGGGGTTCTTCATGAGTATGTTACAGACTCTGAAGATAAACCCCCAAGAGAGCCCTGAAATGTGTTTTGAGTGACAGCAGCACCCCTAGAATAAATAACAAGTATGAATCAGGTGGATACACACGCGGGTGCGGGTGTGCAGGCGCACAGATTCACTAACTACGTTGCTTAACAGCCATATATTTAACACTGCTCCAGGGTGAAGAGGAGCTTACAGATATTCTTTAAACTTTTGAACTTCTCTAATGAGACAGTCTTACGTGCCCATTTTAACTTATCAGAGGCAAGGCTTCCGTATAACTTCCTATGCTCCCTGCTTTCAAACCCACACTGTCGAGACAACTCCCTGCCGAAGCAGAAACCCGGGAAAGTGGTTGTGCCAGCAGCGCGATGCCACTGCTGTGGCTTCCCTGATTCGTCAGAAGGACTTCCAGTAGAAGACTCCTTCCCCTTCTTTCCCCCTGATTTGCCCCAAGCTTCCCACTGTGTATCCTGTAACTTGCTGAGAGGCATTCATTGATAAACACTGGAAGCTACAACGGCCCCCGGGACAACCTCCATTAACAAGAATAACAAATACTGTGTTTAACGGTACAAGAAGCCTGTTCCGTACCAAAAAAAAAAAAAAAATTACTTTTAAAAACATTTTATAGGAGAAAAAGATGTTCAAATAGAGCTACAGAAATGATCTGTCCATAAGGGGAAATCAGTTGATAATATTTTGTACTGCAGTCTCAGTTTCTCCCAAGAGGAAACTAGTTGATAAACTTTTCCAGTTTTCTACCAGGTAATTATTAAAATTTGCTTGTCATTTATTCCAAGTTAATTACTGGTATAACTCTTATACCCATTCCATGCCCAACCCTCAATCCCCAGGAGCGCTATGGTATAGTTTATAGCTACACTTAATCCCGGAAATTTTAGTGTTTATAGTTCCTGTCCATTTATCCTGGAGCTTCTCCTTGCAAGATTTTTAATTAAAAAATGTTAAAACTGTGACTTCCCAGGAAATACTAAAATTGTATCACCTGAAATTTTAGTCTTTTCAAGACTATTATGATGGCTTTGCTATAAGAAAAGACTTCTTGAAACTGGAGAACGCAAAATGTTCTAGGTATTTATGTTTGTACATTTAATCACCTCTTGGTTCACATTTTCCTTTTTACGATTTCCTAAGACAGGTATTGAGTAACAAGTTATTAATTTCAAGAAATACTTCCAATACAAGTAGGTAAGCTGAAAAGACTAAATGTTCTCATCTGGGATGCATTTTAGACAGTTTTAAAAATTAAAATATAGCCAAACACCTGTATTCTAGTACTATTTCTAATACTGGTCTAATGAAATTTTCCAGGTTCCTCTCTTCCCGCCTCCAACTCCACCTGTTTGGGTTTTTTTTCCCTAAGGATATTTTCCCTGACGTTCTCACTGAATGTTGCGCATACTAACTAGGAAAACATAAAAAGCCACAATACATCTTAATTTCCTCTTATTCACAGTTAAGATCTACCAAAAAAACCCCAACTGCATGGAAAAAAACAATTAAAAAAAGCCCAACAACAACCCAATTTAATGGATGATCCCCGCCCTCTGGAAGCTTATCGTGGGTAACAGAATCCACGTGACACAGGCCAAGCGCTCCTTTCTCAGTCTTCTCCCAAGAACTGACATTCTGTCCCCGCTCCCATAGTTCACAGAGCTCTCCCAGTTATCCGTTTGCTCCTGTCTTCCTGAGAAGACACTTAGCATTTCTGGGGCTGAGGGTAAAGGGTCGGGGAGACTGCCTTTCCTCTGATTCAGCATCTTTTTTCACAAAAGTCCCATAACTGGCCTCCCCAACCCCAGTGCCCTTCCAAGCCGTCTCACAGAAAGCAAGCAGCAGCCGGAACTGAGCTTCCTGCCGTCTCTCCTCAGCTAATCCCGTCAAGTCACGTGGCCTCTGTGGCAGTCTCAGCTTCACAGCCTCCCGTCCCTCTATTCCCTTTTACTGACCCCTTGAAGCACACCTCAAAGTTCCTGTGTGTGTTGCCTGCCTTTGTTAACCTATAAATATAAAATGTCTTTCATTTCATCTCCACGTGTTTAAAATCTTGGAAGCCTAGCTCACGTGTCAACAACTCCTGAAAGGAGCCTTCCCGGAGTCCCCCAGCTTGGGATCCTCTGAGCCCCACTTTGTGTATCACTCAGTGCGCCACCGTATTGCAAAGATTGCCCTCTTGTCTCTTGGACCAGAGAAGGACAAACAGACTCCTATGCCGGTCGGCAGGCCCAGGGTACCCTAACAGGCTGTCTCACACAAGGTTAAGTCTTCAAAAAAGTACCTGCTGAATGAATAAATGATAAATGGAAAAGAACTTGGACAATTTGTAATGAGAGTTTCAGCTAAAAAGATGACAGACTTCAAAATTCTAATTGAGGCCAATTCAACTGTGTTTTTTAAACTTTCTTGGCTCACTTTTATTTTAAAATTGTAACTTTATTTAGACCAATTTAAATTTTAAATATTTCATTTTTTATGATATGAAATCTCAAATATATACAAAAGTTCAGAAAATCCTATGATGAGCTTGTCAACTCAGCCTTAACAGCTACCAACACATGGCCGATAGAAGCAAAGTTGTAAGGCCAGGAGGAACTGCAGGTTAATTTGGGCCCAAAAAGGCCAGGCCAGGTGGTCTGCCTGATGTCACAGAGCTGCTCAGGAAGCCAGTGGAAGACAAAAACTTACGTACCCCACACCGAAACAGAATGTTCACTAAGAGAAGCTAGGGTCAAAAATAAAAATGAAAGGGAAGCTACTCTCAATTCATTTTTTATTTTTAAAAAACGTATTTTTAAAAACGTCTATTAGAAATACCATGGGGGAAAACCTTAGCTTTTTGTGATACAAAACAGTGAGGTAGCAGGTTTGTATTATCACAAAAGCATCTCCACCCACAGCTTATCATAAGTAGGTAAAACTTGTGTCACTGGGTTACCTTCCTTCAACCCTTGCTATGTTTTTCACATTGTTCCCCAACCTGTGCAACACCCCTTCCTTAGAGCGTGAGGGCTCCAATGTCTTCTTGGTCTTATCATCCACCTCATCCCCCTTGAGAATGGGGAAAGACCTGATGGGGGTGGGAAGGTCCTTCCTATATCTCTTCTGGGGTTGGCAGTTGGGAAATAAAAGGATTATATGCAAATGTGACTGATAAACTCAGTTGAACATCAACTTTGCCAGCCAACCTTCCAATCCTAGACACCTAGTACTAGCGGCCAGGGAGGTCAAAGGAGCCTCAGGTCCATCCACAGCAGCTTATTCTCCTCCAGGGACAGCTCTCCGCGCCCCCCTCCACCCCCCACCCCACTGCCCTGCTCCTCCCTCTCACTTCCTTACTAGCCTGACCAAGGTTCAGTCTCTCACCTAATCGCCCAACATTAAACCAAAACCGAAACTCCCTTCATCTGCCCCAAGACTCCAGTATGTCCACAACAGTGTTTGGAGTTTATAATAGCATTCGTAGAATCTTTCATATTACAACTTCCTAACTTACATTCTGAAACATGTAATTATGACTCATATGTAATGTCTACCTCTGATAATGCAGTTTCTGACAAAGTGGGTCACTAGAATATAGCCTTTGTTAAAAGAATTATTAACAATGCAGTGAACATTTGAGCAAGTGTCTACCTACTGCTGTTCTAGATACAAACTGGAATCTAGAAAAATCACTAGCCTAATCACCTGTGACTTCAACTACATTGATAAGTGTAAGAACATACGTGTGACCAAAGCTAAGAAAGTAAATGACTGCATCAAACAACCATCTCAGCCTTCCAAAAAATGGATAAACCCTCTAGATTTTAACCAACGAATAAACCCCTCTCCACTCCATGATTATTTTAATCTTTTCAAGCGGAGGAAAATCTAAGTTATATCAATAGTTGAGCACATGACTATCGAGGGCATTAACTGCCTTTGTTTTATGGATACTTGATGAGTCTATACATAAGTAAATCCAGCCCCACAAAACTCTTCCACAACTTAACTGCTCACCAATAAATAATTATCATCAGAGAGAAAGATTGTGTTGACTATGCTTTATCATACTGGCAGGATGCATATATTTATGAAGTTATTTATTCTTCAGGTCTTTGAAAAGGAAGGATTTGCAGTGTTAGCTCTACTATACAAGCCATCCTACAGGTCCTTGTCAGGTAATTCAGACATGTGCTGACAAGTCATGAACGTCACAAAATTATGATTTATAAATTCAAAAGAAAAGATACAGTAGCTTCAATTTTGGGAAGCTCATTTTTGTGATACATGATGAAAAGCAAGCTTACATTTCTTCTTCCAATTATAAAATTAACTGTTCAATATTTCTAAGGAGGTCTATTAAAGTGAAATTCCTCAAAATTGGTATTTCTAGTATTCTTTAAAAGTGTTAAGCCAATTTATTAATTCTCTTTTAAGTTAAAAAATTAAATTAATTAATTCCTTTTTAACATCATTATTAAATATGGGGGTATCATTACTTCTATTAAAAAATTCAAGTCTGGGACACCTGGGTGGCTCAGTTTGGTTAAACATCTGCCTTCGGCTCCTGTCACAATCCCAGCGTCCTGGGATCGAGTCCTGCATTGCGCTCCCTGCTCAGCAGGAAGCCTGCTTCTCCCTCTGCCTGCTCTGCCTGCTGCTCCCCCTGCTTGTGCTCTGTCTCTGACAAATAAATAAATAAAATGTTAAAAAATAAAAAATAAATAAATGAAAATAAAAATAAAAAATTCAAGATTTTTGTGATTTGATGCAATATTGCCTCCAAAGGAAAAAACCTATAAACAAAAATGAAATACTGAAGTATTTAAAGGGGAGTGTACTGATATCTACAATTCACTTTGAAATGTATGGAAAAAATAGGATGGAATGATTGATGGATGACAGAAATGTATTATGAAAGTAGACTAAAATGTTAATTGTAGACGCTCAGTGGTGGGTATATAGAATTTACTGCACAGTTCTTTCCATTTCTCTGTGTGTTTGAAAATTTTCATAGTGTAATGTTGGAAAGAAAAAAGCTTGAAGTAACAACCTTAAAGTTGATGCTTACAGCGGTTTTTGTGCGCTTAAGGTAAAGAACTAGTAGGAAATATAATAGTACAAAATGATTTAAGACTTATTATATGAAATGGGATACAAAATTATGAATATAGTATTATGATAACCATGTAAAAATATACACAGAAAAATAACAAAAGGAGCTGTACTAAAATATTAATAAAACTGTCCTAAGAGAGTAGAATTATGGGTGATTTCCTCCCTTTATTTGTCCAACTTTCTATAATGTAATCATATGTATAAGTGCTTTCTGTGCACATATAAATATACATATGTATATTTTATATTTTTGTAAGTACAATGATCATAAGGGAGGGAGACGGCCATATCTAACTTTAAGAAAAGGAACAAAATATATTTGTTTAAAAAAGAGAGAGAGAGAGGGCGCCTGGGTGGCTCAGTGGGTTAAAGCCTCTGCCTTCGGCTCGGGTCATGATCCCAGGGTCCTGGGATCGAGGCCCGCATCGGGCTTTCTGCTCAGCGGGGAGCCTGCATCCTCCTCTCTCTCTGCCTGCCTGTCTGCCTACTTGTGATCTCTCTCTCTGTCAAATAAATAAATAAAATCTTTAAAAAAAAAAAGAGAGAGAGAGACTGTGGGTTCACCTCCCTCCCTGTCACATCCCGACCTAAATATTGTTTCATTTTATTTTTGACTGCAATACAAGAATGAGTGAACATAAATGCACCAAATCAGCATGGCCCACCACTTTTTTATTCACATACTGGTAGTGTCTTAAGGTAATGAACAGACTTAGCTGACAACACCAACTGCAGGGCCTTGTTATTTCCAGACTCCATAAACGGAGGTAATATGCATAATGGAACAAAGCACGCAAGCCACAGTAGCAAAATATAACCTACTGTTGGGTGGTCTGTTTTTTCTTAAAGGATCATTAAGAACTAAAGCAAATGTCTTATAAATAGGCCTCTTTCTAGACTCTAGCCTAATTTCCTCTACCTAGGAGAATCTAGTTGGCTGAGCACCAACTGTTTTGAGATGGCAGCAAGAACCACGTTAGGTCACCTGCCTCCTTGAGCCGCAGGTGCTCTGACTTATGCAAGCGGGTTCTTCTCTCAAGGCCTTGCTTTCCTCCTCTATAAAATCAGGGCCAGTTAACGGCCCTTCCAAATCAAAAATTCTCTGGATATGAGGCAACAGGGAAAACAGGCTCTGGGAAACTGAGTAAGAAATAGGTCTCCTTGAACTCCACCCAGGTATCCCTGGCTATGGAAAATCTAGGAGCATAAAAACACATAAATTCATGAAGACAAACAACTCCATAGAGCACCCTGCACCCAAAAAGTATTTTGAGATACGATGCGGAAACCAGCAGACATGAGATCACTCTGTATCACTAAGCGTGGGATTTATCCTCATCACAGGGCTTCTGTGAAAAATCCAGGCAATCCCTCCCTGCTCAATGGAATCTAAATACACTGTTAATTCCATTTTCAAAGCTTCAAACAAAGGTGGTGGAAACAGATATTTTTCTTAAACAGCGCTAAGAAAAAACAAAAACAATACCTGGATGTATCTAGTGATTTCTTCACATCTATTTTAACAGTAAGAGATTTCTTCCCAAGACTGGCGGATGAAGGTTTCACATTGGAAAGTTTACTTTTATCAAGTTGGTTACTGGAAGAGTTGCTCTCTTTTCTGCCATCCCCTTCTTTCTTTGCTTTCTCCTTCCGTTTGTCACTGCAGGGTCTCAGGCCAACATCACTTTTACTTGAATGCGTTGAGGCAGTGCAGTCAGCGCAGTCTTTCTTAGATGGTTTGGAAGGTTCTTTCCCTTGCCCACCTTCAGTCTCTCTCCCTCTTCCAGCATTAAAACAAATGGACTGTCTATTTTCAGGGCCTTTTTGAGAACTGGACTTTCTATCTTCCTCCTTAGAGTACTTCTGAATTCTTCCATCTGGAAAGTCCTGGTCCCCACTTGAGGTCTTCCGGCGTTTGTGGCGATAGTCACAGGATACCTTGGCTGCTGAACTGGTCTCTGGCGGTTCCCTCTGAGCACGTCGATGAGTGTGCGGTCCAAGGTTCCGCTGCTCTTTCTTCTCTTGGTAAGATGGAAGAGAATGCCCGAACTTCCACTGAGGGCTCCTGGCAGGCTCTCTGTTTTCATACCTCTCCACATCTTTAGGTCTTTTTGATGTGTATCCATATTTTCTGAAATCACGATCCTCAGGATACCTGTGTTGACATAAAGCAGTTTACACTTGCACTAGAGAGAAGAAAGTGAGAATTTACATGTGTGGAATGTTGGTCAGCATGGCTTTAAATGCAGAACGCAGTGGCAAGTTAACTATAATCCCTCAAGCCAACTCATAGAGGCACAAGGTAGCAAAGAGGAATATACCATCTTTTGTTACAACTCTAGCCATCAACACGATTTACTCTAAAAATAAACACTTCATTACTACCAGCGGACCATAATTACATTACAGTGCTTTTTATCTTTTTAGACAAAAGCTTTTCAAGGTGGTTCTCTTCAACCATAAAGTAAACAGACTTTTGCACTTGAGGCTTTATACCAAATTACCCAGGTTTAATGTTTTCCTATACCTCTTCGGAAAAGAGCTCCTTTTCTCAAAGTCTTCAGAGCCTCTTCTCAGTGACTGAGAATAGTTTTCATCTTGTATCCTCTGGTGCCTCAACTCATCTTCGTGCCACTTTCCTTCAAACCGAGAAGAATCTGCTATTGACCTCGGAGGCGGTTTCCCTCCTTTTCCACTTCCTCTGACTCTGTAGTCATCAGGAATATACCTTCCTTCTCCTTTCTGGGAATAACAGTTCCTTGGGTACTCTTTGTAGGGTACATCTTCTGAGTATTTGGGCATATAGTGAGATCTTCTGTTACCATCCCCTCTTCCTGACAAGTATGCTCGGTAAGGCTTGTAAGTATAAACATTTTCTAAAGAGTTTCTTCTTAAATTTGGGGAAGGTGATCTGTGTTCGTAAGATCGGTAATGCACATTTCCACGAGAAGGAATCCTCGGTTTACTCGGTCCATGTTTCTCACTGTCTATTCGCCAAGTGATGGGTCTTTTTGGATCCTTCCTATATTCACAGCCATAATGCCCATGAGAATGTCTTTGCTTGTAGTGTTCAGAATTTCTAGGTACTGGTGATAAAGACCTGTGTCAAGAAACAGAAAAGCTCAGTCCATTTAAAGACAATAAACAAAGTTTATCTTAATATGAACTACCTAAATAAGACATTTGCTTCCCACTGCTTCTTCCACTCATATCAAATTCATCAATTTGCTATATCTGTATTCTAAACTGTCCATCTGGGTGTCTGACTATTGCTCTGGCCAATTCAACAAGCATATTCTTTCCATCTGAGCTAACGTGTCCCATGTGCATACTGAAATGGGCTGAGGACACCTATCCTGCTGGAGGAGGACCAGTCTAGGTACACAGTAAGATCCATTGTGGAAGACTGCCCACAGCAAAGTCTGGGCAAAAGAACCAGTCAGCAAAAGCTTGTATTAGGTTCAACAGTCAGGGAAGAAACAAGCAACTGGAAGGCTAGATTCACACTGATAAATGTATAGTACAGTCTCCGGGAAACTTAACATAACCTCTGAAATTAAATTAGATTCTAAGAGTTTACGAAACCAAAATAAATCCAAACTCAGACTCAAGACTGACCTCGCAGTTTCTGCAATTGATTGACTGTTCTTTCTACGGATGCTGTAACACGGAGCAAAAAACTACGTATCTGGTGTGCGGAGTAGGAGGGGGAAGAAGGTATTAAGGCTTGAATTTCATACTTAGTTCCTCCATAAATACTACTAACATAGATAAATTGCTGTTCTTTCCCAGACCTGTTCCCTTACGTGTGCTGTTGCAATAGAGCTTACAGCTTCGGTGAATGTGGGCTTTAATGTAGCCACTGTGCTCCCCAGGAGCAGCACATTTTTTCTGCAAAGACCTTCCCTACTACCTCAGCATTGCCAACATCAAGACTTCATTCCCGCGGAGGAGGAAGGCAGCTCCTTATCCATGGAAACTAGTCTGAGCTGCCTGGACTTCCAGAGCAAAGAGCACCACTATCTGGAATACAATCAAGTTCAATTTTGAACCTGGGGACCTTTCCTCCCATCTAACCTGTCCAATGTCCCCATCGCCTCCCTGAGGGCTTAATGTCTTCCAGTTAACAAGGCAGCTACCCTAGCGGCTTTCATAACTGCCACCTTCAGAAGCTGCCAGGGAGCTGGAGTCACCACGAGTCATACCCTTTCCATTCAGTGACACGTCTGTGTCCTCCTGACGACAAAGGAGGCAGATTTATGCCCCTCGTGTTCACACTGGGATTTCTATACTAGACTTGGCAATATCTGCCTCTGGAGTCACCAAGTTAGACGTACTAGCAAGTGAACTATTTAGCTGACGAAGGAACTCTGTCTTCCAGCTGGCAGCACCTCATCACAAGAAGAAGCGAGCAGAGCCTCGGAGGACCTGCTGGAAGAGTGCATCTCTTCCATCACTAAGGAGAACAGCTGGCAGCCAGAGATAAAGCTCTTCCAGACCGGACGAAATACTCAATATCTTACTTTAATCCTTACCTCATAATGAATACTGCTTCGTTATTATATTTCACATCAGGGGATTTTTTTTTTTTTAAGGAGATTGCTGGAATGGTTACTATCATTTTCAATTCTCCTAAAGAAACAAAAGAGATCTGAGGAGTCTGTTGGGAGACAATTCTCCATGGGTCTCTTGCCTTCTGCCATGGTAGGCAGAGGTACTGATGGCTTCTGTGCCAAGACACCGCAGCGTGGGATGATGGAGATAGGGCCTCCCTCGGGAAAAGAGGGCCAATTTGTTTGCTATCCAGGCTACGTCTCCTCCAAGGCAAAGGCTAGGTGGGTTTGCTTGTTGCCCAGATGAGGCTTGGGCTCCTCGGCTGTGTGGACACCGCAGGGCTTCACTCTGCAGCTCCCACCCTCGGGAGACTCGGGACTAAACACAGGAACGCGATGCTCAGGCTGCCCACCGTACCACGAGTCATAAAGGTCTTTGTCTCTGACCCAGGACTGCCCTGTGGCAGGCTAATGTGTTAGCTTGCAAGTAACGTAAAATATCAGATACTTTACAGGTTTTGGCACAGAGTCCTGAGAAGGAATCTAGAAATCGGGCACTAAGGCTGGCAGGTCTTCTGTGCCCTTTCATCAGGGCCTATCACAAAAGGGTGAAACAAAACAACTTCTGTGATGGCCTCCATATTAAACTCATTCATGTTGACATCCCCCTTTCTTCTTCAAGCTCCTTCCTGTTACAACTTGATCTTGTGGATTACAAAATGAAAATTGTTAAAGAAATGATTGACTCGTCATTGTAGAATAAGCACAATGGCCAAGTTGTATTAACATGAAAAGTTTTGGTCTGCTTTTTATATATGTAATTATGATCCTTTTTTAAGTCCTAGAATGTACTACTCACTTTCATAGCTCTGTGCCGTTGCTCCTATTGCCCACCCCCCAAACTGGAATACTTCTGTCTTTTGTTTCTGCCTGTACAAATTCTGCCCATCCTAAATGATCAGCTAAAATTTCATCTTTTCTTTGAAGACTTTACGATCCCCCTTTTCCCTCCATAAAAGCAGAATTATCCCTTCTCTGTGGACCCAGAATATCCGTCCCAGTCAGTAGCACTGTGCTGAACCCACAGTATCATAGCTGACTGTGGTGCCAATCTCCCAGCCAGTCTGCATGCTTGCTGAGGCCCCAGAAGATGTCATGTTGCCTTTGCAGCCCCAGAACCTGGAGCATGTATGTAGTGAATACTGGTTGAACTGTTCTAATCTAACCATATGTACATACTATTGATACTGCCAACCAGGAAAGAAGAAAGTTGAACTACAACCGAGTTATTCAAAACTCTGTTATTCTGTCGTGAAGAAGAAATAGGTAACTCCTGATTTTCTAACTGCCGATTTTTCCAAAGATATTGATAATGAAAAAAAAAAAAAACAACTCAGGAGTTCTAAACCACTTACTGATGCAAAAAAATGTAACACTCATAGATGTTTCTCACTCTCCCTTGCTGTGGCCACTGCATTTCTTTTTATTATGGATTAATTCAAGCTGCCAGCCATAATTAAAGAAAGCTGTCAGCTTTCAGAATCTAGAAAGACGACCTCTATCACTGCAAAGTACCTACTGTGAATAACCAGGTCCCATGAGCTTATTAAAATAGGTTCTTGGGGCGCCTGAGTGGCTCAGTGGGTTAAGCCTCTGCCTTCGGCTCAGGTCATGATCCCAGGGTCCTGGGATCAAGCCCCACATCGGGCTCTCTGCTCAGCGGGGAGCCTGCTTCCCTTCCTCTCTCTCTGCCTGCCTCTCTGCCTACTTGTGATCTCTGTCAAATAAATAAAATCTTAAAAAAAATAGGTTCTTAACAGTACCAGTGAACTTGAAAGTCAAGGTACATCCCAAGTTTACTCTGCTAAACTAAGAATTGCTCACCTGTGTTTCCACCTGGGGGATCGAGAGCGTGACCGTGCCATCCTCTGACACTTGAGCCACCATCTGCTTTTACACTGCAAAGAAACACAGTATTAGCAAGTTTACAGAAACAGCCTGCAATCTGCTCCAAAAGCAGTGAATCCCACCAATAAAAAATTACTTAAGTTCTTCATGTCTCAGTTTCCTCATCTGTAAAATGGGGATGATAATAACAGAACCTACCTTATTGGAATGTTGTGAGGAAAGAATGAAATCAGGGGTCAGCAACCTTGTCCTATAGAGGGCCAGAGAGCTTGCTTTGTGGGCCGGATCAGGTCTTTACCTCATCTCCTCCTTCTTCTTTTTTTTAAAAAACAACTCTTTAAAAATATTAAACCAGGGGTGCCTGGGTGGCTCCGTCATTAAGCCTCTGACTTTGGCTCAGGTCATGATCCCAGGGTCCTGGGATCGAGCCCCACGTCGGGCTCCCTGCTCAGCGGGAAGCCTGCATCTCCCTCTCCCACTCCCCCTGCTTGTGTTCCCTCTCTTGCTGTCTCTCTGTCAAATAAATAAATAAAAATCTTTAAAGAAAATTTAAAAAATTTAAACCATTCTTAGTTCAAGGACCACACAAAACAGGCCCCAAAAGCCAAACACACTGCAATGTGATGGCCCCTGAGCTTCGAGGAAGAGCACTCAGGATAGTGCCCGGCACGCAGCCCTGCTACGGAAGTGCTCCACAAAGAGGACATCCTCACCCCGAACTCCTCCATCTGAACCACCACGACCTGCCTGTCTTTCACCTTGTACAAAAATACTTCATATAATCACAGTCAAAATGTTCAGGGTTACTTGATGATACATCCTGCTTTTTAAATTGCTGGATAATAAGAGTTACAATACCTAATTATAGTACTAAATTGCTACCTAACTTTCACCGCGTATGTAAACCAAAACTTGATTAAGCATGATTAAACATTAAGTTTGGTTTTTATTTTTTTTTTTTTATAAAACAGATAATGTCAAATAAATACATTTTAAAAGTTATGTGAACCTGATTTTTAAAATAGTAAGTCTTGGGGCGCCTGGGTGGCTCAGTCATTAGGTGTCTGCCTCCGGCTTGGGTCATGATCCCAGGGTCCTGGGATCAAGCCCTACATTGGGCTCCCTGCTCAGAGGGAGGCCTGCTTCTCCCTCTCCCACACCACCTGCTTGTGCTCCCTCTGTCAAATAAATAAATAAAATCTTAATTAAAAAATAGTAAGTCTTTAAAAGAAGCTGATAGCTTTAGGAACCAAAATCTCTTAAACATGTGATTAGGGTATAATCTTTTATACTAGCTATTATTTACATTTTAGTAATCCCCCTTAGTTCTGTACTATAATTAAGTAGTTCCCCACTTACTGGCCCTAAACTATTGATGGCTTTCAAAATTATTGCCATGGATTCATGTGTAATATAGGGAGCCAGCATGCACAGACTGTGGAATAAGTACGTGTCTCATATATTATAACCTCTATTTTGCAAATTTCTGAAGACAGCATGGTCATTGTTAAAATACAAATGGGTTCTTGTAACTCTGTAGTTTTTCCATTGACTGATACAAAAAGCACAACTATTATTATGTGGACACTTGTTTAAAAAGGGAGTCCCCATAGTCAAACATCTGCAAACTACTGTTAAAATGAATTTCAGAAGAAAGTAAAAGTATATAAGTCTAAAGGACTAGAACCACATCACTCACCAGGACACTCAATACAATTCATTTATTTAGACAGTGCCTCTTAACAAAAAGAAACTGAGGCTAGTATAAACAATTAGTTCAGAGGTACTATGAAATTAAGACACTAACGAAAGGGGAAAATTCTTTCATTAAAACTATCAATATGTATTTCTTCAACAAATATTACTCAGTTACTATTTGCCAGCCACTGTTCTGGGGATATAGCAATGATGAGAAATAGGGAAAAATTCCTGTCTTCTGCAGTTTACATTCTACTGAGGGAATTTATAACAAGAAGCTTTAGGTATCAGTTCATACCTATGAAGCTGAACACAAATTAAAATCCCAAGGTTGGTGTGGGGGGATGACACCAAATATTGCTGGTGATGATGAAAAAGCATAATTTTTCTGGAAGATAATATTTTTCCCATTTTATTCATTTATTTTATTTTTATTTTTTTAAGTAAGCTATATGGCCAATGTGGGGCTTGAATTCATGACCCCAAGATCAGAAGTTGCATACTCTACTGACTGAGTCAGCCAGGTACCCCTCCATTTTCTTTTTTTATTTTTTATTCTTTTGAAAAACAGTTTTTTTGAGATATAATTCACATACCATAGAATTCACTCATTTAAGGGTGCAATTCAATGTTTTTTTAGTATATTCACAGAGATGTACAACCAGTACCACAATCTAATTTAGAACATTTTCATCTCCTTTAAAAGAAACCCCATTAGCAGTTGCTCCCCATTCCTTCCCTCCTGTGATCAGCCCCTGACAACCACTCATCTACTTTCTTGTTCTATGGATTTGCCTATTCTGGACCTTTCATATAAATGGACTCATACAATATATATTTAGTGACTGGTTTCTTTCCCTTACCATAACGTTTTCAAGGGTCATCCCTGTTTTACCATGTATCAGTACTTCATTCTTTTTATGACACATTTTATTTATTTATTCCTCTCCCAGTGGACATTTGGGTTATTTCTATAGTTTTGGTTATTATGAATAATGCTGCTATGAACATGTGTGTATCCTTTTTTGTGTGGACGTATGTTTCTATTTCTCTTGGGTATATACCTAGTAGTGGACTTGCTGAGTCATATAACTCTATATTTAACTTTTATTATTATTATTGTTATTATTATTATTATTTAAGTAGGCACCATACCCAGCATGAAGCCCAATGTGGAGCTTGATCTCATGACCCTGAGATCAATATTTGAGCTGAGATCATAAGTCAGATGCTTAACCAACTGAGCCAGCCAGGGGCCCTTATGTTTAGAGACAATGCGAAACTTTTCCAAAGGAGCTACATCATTTTATATTCCCCCCAGCAAAGTATGAGGATTCCCATTTTTCCACATCCTCAGCAACACTGGCTATTGTCTGCCTTTCTGATAATAGCCATTGTAGTGGGTTGAAGTGGTACTTCATGGTTTTGATTTCCCTATTTCCCTAATGATGGATAATCTTGAAATATGTAAGAAATTATGAAACTAATCAAGCCTACTTTCTTTTAATCTAATAATCTCAGTTTAAACTTATTACTCTAAGATAGTAATTGAAAAGGAAAAAAATCAGCTATATATACTAAGATATTTAATGTTAGCTTTATTTATAATAGGAAAGGAAAAAAAAAAGAACACCCAAACTAGTTATAACCCTAATGGCCAGGAACGAATAAAAGATTAAACAAATTTAAAACATATATATCTAGGGGCGCCCGGTGGCTCAGTCGGTTAAGCTTCTGACTTCAGCTCAGGTCCTGATCCCAGGGTCCTGGGATGGAGCCCTGTGTCAGGCCCCTGATTAGCAGGGAGTCTGCTTCTCCCTCTCCCCAAGCTCGTGTGCGAGCGCTCTCTCTCTCTCAAATAAATAAATAAAATCTTTAAAAAACATATATATCTCGCCACTTCCTATCTTTCTCCCAACCTTATGTATGTCTTTTCTTCCACATACCCTACTAGTCCTCCACACCACACCACTTGCTTTTCCCTGATCAGGCCATGCTCCCCCTACCACACAATTGGCCTTCTCTCATTCTACTTGACAAATCTCTGTTCTTTCAGGAGTGTTCCACCATTATCTCCCCAAGGATTCTTTCCTTGACTATCTTATTTTCCCCCAGCTTTTTCCTTGGGAACTCTGGGCTTATTCTGAGATTACTTAAATACATTGTGATTATTTGTTTAAATAACTCTGTTTGTTTCAATAAGCAAAAGACTCCAAACAACTTATCATAGAACACAAAACTCTCATGACCTATGGTCATAAGATGTGGAACAATGGGGACTCTCATACCCTGCTAGGGAGTATATGTGAGTATTAACGAGTTCGCAAGGAGCTGACAGTACCCATTTAAAGTTGAACATACTCATATCCCATGGCCCAGCAATTCCACACAACAATAGCCTTCAGAGTAGTGGCTCTCAAATTTCAGTGTGCAACAGAATCACCCAAAAGGCTTGTTAAAACACAGACTGCTGGACCCTACCCCAAAGGTGGGACTCACTTCTATCAAATTCCCAAGTGATACAGATGCTGCTGGTTCAAGGAATACAGAACTACTGGCTTAAAGGAAAAGGTGGGGATGACTTGAGAGAAAATAAGATTTACTAACTGTGTGACTGAAAAAAGTATTACTCAGGGGCTCCTGGGTGGCTCAGTCAGTTGGGCATCTGTCTTCAGCTTGGGTCATGAACCCAGGGTCCTGCGACTGAGCCCCTCGTCAGGCTCCATGCTCAGCGGGGAGTCTGCTTCTTCCTCTTCTGCTCCTCCCCCTGCTCGTGCCCCCCCAATTAAATAAATAAATAGTCTTTTTAAAAAGTATTACTCAGAATATTTTCCTTCAATATATTAAAACTAGCTTTATGGGGCACCTGGGTGGCTCAGTGGGTTAAAGCCTCTGCCTTCGGCTCAGGTCATGATCCCGGTGTCCTGGGATCGAGCCCCACATCGGGCTCTCTGCTCCGCGGGGAGCCTGCTTCCTCCTCTCTCTCTCTGCCTGCCTCTCTCTGCCTACTTGTGATCTCTGTCTGTCAAATGAATAAATAAAATCTTTAAAAAAAAACTAGCTTTATTAAAATTCATACTATTCACTTGAAAATGGGTGAATTTCACTGCATATAAATTACACCTCAAAACTATAAAAAAGTTAGCTTTGGGGCGATAAAAACACTCTGAAATTAGATCAGATGTTATAAAAATGGTTGCACAACTCTGTGAACATACTAAAACCCACTGAACTGCACATTTTAAACCTGCAAATTACATCTCAATAAAATTTTTTTAAAAAGTTAACTCTGTTTGCAATTGCTTAGTGCACATCAGCTAATAATGAAAAGTACTGGCTCAGGGGCTTAATG